ACTCAGGGACACTTGACCATTGAGCCACATCCCCAGCCCTATTTTGTATTTTATTTAGAGATGGTCTCACTGAGTTGCTTAGTGCCTTGATAAATGGCTGAGGCTGGCTTTGAACTTGTGATCCTCCTGCATCAGCCTCCTGAGCCGCTGGGATTGCAGGCATGCACCACAGTGCTGGGCTCTCATTCTTGACATTGATAATTTTTTCTTTCCTGATTCATATAGGCAGATTTTTATCAATTTTGCTGATTATCTAAATGAAATAGCTTTGGGGTTTATTGAATTTCTCTGTAGATTTTCTGTTTTCTGCCTTATGGATTTCTGCTTCTTACTTTGGACTTAATTTTATCTACTTTTTCAATTTCTTATGGTGAAAACTGATATCTCATGTTTGAAACCTTTCTTCTTTTCTTACATATGCATTTCATGCTATAAATTTTCCACTGAATACTGCCTTATTGTCATATCACATTGGGCTATATTGTGTTTGCATCTTTATTCAGTTAAGAATGCTTTCCAATTCTTCTTTTGATATTTTTCTTTGACCCATGTGTTATTTAAAATATGTCATTTAGCTTGCAAATATTCAGTAATTTTTCATATATCTTTCTGTTGTTAGAAAATAGTTTAATTCCATTCACATCAGAATACAAACTTTGTATGATTTGAATATTTTTTTTTCTCTGTCAGGTATTTTGAAGGTGTGTTATTAAGTACCAAAAAACCCCATGTTTGTTGGACTGGGGATGTGGCTCAGTAGTTAAGTGCCCCTGGGTTCAATTCCTGGTACCGCCACACCCCCTGCAAAAAAAAAAAATATGTTTGTTATGCCTTCCTGATGAATTGAGCCCTGTGTTATTATCATCCTAGATAATATTAGTTTCTTTGAAGTTTACTTGTCTATTATTTATATAGACATCTGTCTTTCCTATTTGGTGTTAGCATTAATTATCTAGGTCTATTAGTTTCTTGTGGCTACCATAACAGTTCACCAAAATCTTGGTGGCTTATAAAGATAGAGATTTTTTTAATTTTTTAAAAAACTTGTTCTTTTTAGTTATACATGACAGTAGAATCTATTTTTGATATATTTATACAATATATATATCTTATTCTAATTAGGAATATATCTTATTCTAATTAGGATCCCAGTCTTGTGGATATACATGATGGTAAAATTATCTGTGGTATATTCATATATGTACATAGGAAAGTTATGTCAGATTCATTCCACTGTCTTTCCTGTTTCTATCCCTACTCCCTTCCCTTCATTCATTACCCTTTGTCTAATCCACTGAACTTCTATTCCTCCCTCCATTGTGTTAGCTTCCACATATCAGAGAAAATATGCGACCTTTGATTTTTGGGGACAAGACAGAAATTTCTTCAGGCTATTCTCCTTCTTCAAATCTTGGGAAAAATATATTATTTGCCTCTTCCAGGTTCTGGTATATGTCAGCATTATTTGGGTTGTGGCTGCCCCTCTTTCGGTTCCATGCTCACATTGCCTTCTTCTTTGTGTGTCTGTATCTAAATTCCCTCTGCATTTCTCTGTAAGGATACATGTGATTGCATTAGGGTCCACCTGGCTAAGTTCCTCCTCTCAAAATCCTTAATCACATATTTTTCCATATAAGGTAAAATTTACAGGATTAGGACATGGATATAACTTTCAGTCCTCTATACATGGTATATTTTTTCAATCTTTTTATACATAATAAATAATAGGAAGGCAGGAGAGAGTGTGAAAAGAAGGAAACGTGATGACAGAACAGGGGTTTAAGTGATGTACTTTGAAGATGAAGGAAGGGAGGATGAACCAAAGAATGCAAGTGACCTCTGGAAGCTGGAAAAGGCAAGGAAACAGCCTGCTAATGCCTTGAT